AGGCTCCGCGTCGTATATTTAGTTACATGAAGAAAAGTTCAAGAAAACCTCAATGTTCACTGTGTGGGGGAATGCAAAGTAAAGGCAGCCTTGTTGCTGCAGTAGCAATTAAGTGATGCAGGCTATGTTATAGAAATACTTACACAAATCTTCAACTTCGTGTTGTTCAGCGTAATATTGAGAGAACAATTCAGAGATACAATGATTACTTCAAAGTTAACCTAAAACCAATTGGAATGCAGCCAAAGAAGAGTGAGCTGATTGTCCATGATCTTAAAACAATACTGAAATTATTCTCTCCCTCTCTTTCATAATATATATATATATATATACATATGCATATATATATATATATATATATATATATATATATATATATATATATATATATATATATATATATATATATATATATATATATATGTAACGTGTGGAGTAACGATTAACTAATTCCGTTAAGAAACAAATTTCCCTTACCAATGATGAACAGCTGATGAACAGAGTGTAATTGGTACGAAATTTAAAATCGGATGCTGAATTAGTTTATAATTTTTAATTTATTCAGACATATAGATGTACGAATAAAGACTAAAGGAAAAGTTATCTTAGTCGACGTGTTTCGTTCTCTGACGGACCTTGTCACGGCAAATGCTAGGATAGTATTTAGATAAAAAAGCAAGGAAAATATTATTGATTTTTCAATTTTGTTTTAATTTAGGAACACTCCTAAATATTCATCAGATTTATAAAGGTTCGTAAACTTAAAAAAATTATAAACCAATAAAATTTTATGCTCTTGTATATAAATACTTTTTATAAAATGAAATCCTTACATTTGCCTTGAATAAGTTCATCAGAGGACGAAACGAGTCAGCAAAGAAATGTTTTGTCTTCAATTATATTGCCCTCTTACAGATATTTTTAGCTATATCGCACACTAACACACAAATCATTTCGGTTTCTTCCGACTAATTGAAAGTGAGGCAAAATAGCAGACGACAACAATGCTTACCATTAATGTTTTAACAAATAAATAACACCGAGGATATATTTATTATAATTTATATATTGCTTATTAATATATACTTCAAAATTATAAGATTATAAAAAAATTACGTAAAATTATATAAATTATTATGCAAATTACATATCTGCCCCAATGTTGTAAATGACATTTGTAAGATTTACACAATGCTACTAATCATTCAAAACGTGTTAACAATGTAAACTGTTTTTCCAAATATGTCAGACACAGATTTTTTAGCCTTAAATGAATTTGTACAAGATTCACTGAAAATAACCAAGACATTTATTATGTACGTTCAAAAGTTTTTAATATCTTTATATTTAAAATTAAATCGTTTTAAAATTTTACGGTTAGAAATTTCTGATGAAACTTAATTCTTCATCTAATAATTTGAATAAGCTGATGGCGTGGTCTACAATAAAATATTAATGGAATTTTCCCTATAGCATAGTTAAATAACATCTTTCACAAAATATTGCAATAACAATCGTAAATATGAAGGCTGGTTGTTTTTTTAAGAAGTATGGCGGTACAAATGAAAATATTAGAGATTAACAACTTTTTCCATTTCACTGAAACAGGCGTTAAACACTTCTATCTTCATTTCTTCCCTTTTTTTTTAAACTCACTGACACCAAGTAGTGTTGTCTTTTGTCTTCTCACGTCGATCAAAACGGAATAGTCACATTATTGATGAGGTATTAGAAGGTGACGTTAAGGACTTATATCTTTTTTATCACTGAAACCTAGTAGTGTTTGTGATATGTCCACGAATTCAAAACGGAATAGTCCATTATTTATAAAATATTAGCAAGATATAACGGTCGTGAGAGCTAAGGAATTAACGGGTGTGAAAACAACCACAAGTATTGATTAATTTTCTAGTGTTTTTTAAGTCTTCAAGGAAAGAGGGCGGTGGAAATATTTACAGGCGATATTTCTTTGAGTATTGTAAAGAAAAATGGAAACAACACGAAGAGCCATTTTGTATTCACAGAAGCTTTTTAATCTGTCAAAGAGCAAAACTCATATAGATTAGCATCGTAATTATTCCTCTTGTGTAAATACTGCAATGCGCAAATAAGAATTAATATCACAGATGCACTGACATGAACCCTTGTTATATTTCATTGGAACTAACGGAATGATGACAAAGTAACGAGTGTATGTATTTAGATCAAGTGCTAAGAAACTGAAAGCATTCTCTCAGTTAACTGCTTGCCTCTTCATTTATCGTTTCTTTTTGTTCCTTCTCACCATCCGTAGTCATTCCTTTCTGAGCGACTGAAAGAAGTATTGCTCTGTGATGGTTTTGAAATCATAATTTTATTTTTGATCGGGAAGGATAAAGTTCAGTGTTGATTAATCCTCGGGGCAATTAACAACTCTGTTCTTTACGGATTGAATAAACTGCAAATTTTTATTTCATTTGAGCTTATATATTTATACAAATTAATCCCATAAAAGAATTCGTGCCTATCTCGGAAAAGTTGTAAAACTCAACATTTCTATATAGTGAAATGGATTGTTCTCAATAATTCATCTAATTAAATCTCTATTTCTAATACATTTTTTTTTAATTTGTAACTCATGAGAGGAGATATCAGCCTTACGAAATGCTTTTTAAAATTTCTAATCTTGGGTAATATTTTCGGGAAATATGGTAGTTAGTGTAGGAACGCGAATTTTCCCGCCATATCCTGCATGTTCTAATTCTAGTTTTACTTTCCTATAGCTAACGCAATCTTAATATACCCTTAAAACATGGAAATTTTAAAAGTGTATATTTACATAATATAGGCAAATGTATTAAAACATAGTGAGAAGAAGTGAATAGTTACAATGTATGTAAGGAGATGACTCGAAAAAATATAGTTTGTTTTTAACCTAGGCAAGGTAGTGAAGCCACTAAGACACAAGGGGTTATTGGGTGTGAAAGAATTAGACAACAGAAACATTACTAAGGATCAGGAACAATAGAAGAATAATCAGGAAGACAGTAGATGGCTATTGATATTGCATTTACATTTTTGAAGATCAAAGTTAGCAGAAAAAAATGTAGCCGGAAAAGTGTTCCACAAGCAAGAAGTGCGAGAAAAGAAACTGTTAGCTTAGTACTTACGATCACATCCAGCCAATTCAACTGTAAATTAATGAGGTCGATCTGCCAATCTAGTTCTGTGCTTAAATTAATAAAGTCTAGATTACATAGCAAAAGGCTCATCCGAACAATTACCATTAACGTATTTAGAAAAAGGCACATTGAAGAAAATTTCTATAAAATCATCTTGCACATTGCCTGGAAGAACTCTGGTATTATTCCGAAAGGGATAGCGAATGATTTAATAATAAAACTATAGAATAGAGAAAGCAAATAGTCTTTGTACATTTATCGTCACACATCTTAATGAGAACAAGGGATTTAATCTATCCTTCATAACATTAAATTTTAATCAACTGAATTGTTGGTTGTTTTTGTTTAGCGATTCATATGGCATATTTATTGCCGAAATCTAGATATTCTGCATACAATTTTATTTATTTTATTTTATTTTTTTTGAAATAATAATATTTTTACTGATACAAATCTTATTAATTTACCTATAGCTGGAGGTAGAATAACTGGATTTATACCTTTCCCAAGGGTATTTGCTCGTAAGATAAACAAATCCATCTGGAATTGGAACTCGATTCCGATTAACAAGCCATTATACATTACACCACCCACACATCAAAGCTTACAGCACTTAGTTCACCAAGTGGTCACCCATCTAATTACTAACAATGCTCGGCGTTGCTTAACCTTGGTCAAAGTACGAAAAACGGTGTTTCAACGTGATGTGTCGGTAAGCCACATTTTAACAAACACCGGTCTACATCTGTTATTATCGGACAGTAGGTGTGTCTCTTTGGGCTTGTCTCCGAATGTGATTTCTCCATACCCAACAGGATGTAAGTGACCGACACTTTTCACTTTAGTGCAGCTGTTTATATATCTAACCATCTTACGGTTTCTCCCACGCGTGCTCATTCTAGACCCAGTTGGGTGGACCACGTGTTTACATGTCGGGAGCAGTTACTGATATCGACTGAAGCACAGAAGTTCACTTAGTGGCTAGGAGGGTAGCTCCCAGGGTTTACCTGCCAATGGCTTCTCTAAAAAACACAAAGAGTGCAAAGCCTCGTGTGTGTTTTCACATATTACATCTTTTTCTGTCGGGAAAAGGACAGAAGGGGAAATGTGAATTTTTAATAACAAAGGCTCCAAGAAGTCTTGATCGCATTACACATGCGCATACAGTGGTTTGAGAAGTTCAAATGGCTAATATGAGAAAAGGTATGAAACTTAATTCTATTGCACAAGGCAGCGGCATCTTTTATCATTCAGCATTTGTTGAAGGAAGGAAATTAGAGTGACGGACAAGGTAATTATCGTGATCAGCTTCGTGGCATAATTGATGTGAACAACCATGCGTAATTGTAGGGTGTTGTTTGGGGCTGAGACAAGATCATTTTGTACGCATGAGCGATTGGCAAATGAAAAATGAGGCTTCATCCATGCGAGGAGGAACGGTGAAATACAAGCTTGTCGAGCAGTTCGCTCTGTTTGATTGACTTTAAGAAGCGGAAGTTTATCGAAGTTGGCGTGATTTGGAAGGAGAAAAAAAGGAAGAAAACTAGATGAAGAGGAGGAGGAGAAGGAAGGCCAAGGACTAGGAGGAGAAGGAGAAAGATGGAGGCAAAATAAAAAGGGGAAAGAGGAAAACTGAAAATACGACGAAGGTGAGAGACATGAAGAACAGAATGAAGCACAGTGCGAATATGAATATGGCAGAAGACAAATAAAATGAATAATAATACTAGTATGAAAGCGAGTAAAAAAGAAAAAAAAGAAGAAACCAGAACAGAATGAGTAGAGGATATAGAGAAAAAAGATAAAGACGAAACAAATAAAAAAGAAATTAAAAGATTATCATAAACAATATGGCCGTGAAGAAAAAAAGGAAATAAATAATGAAAGCAAAATGAAACAGCAATAATAACCTAAAAAAAAGAAAGAAAAAAGAAAAAGAAAAACATGAAAATATTGAAAAAAAAAAAAAATAAAATAAACGAAGAACAGGACAAGAAAGAAAGGGGAAGATGTGGCATGGCTGGTTAAAGAGGTTGACGAAGAGAAATAAAAAATGGCTGAATTAAAAAGAAACAATGAGAGAAAGCCCAGCAAGAAAGACAAAATGATAAAATTAAACAGATTGGCAAAACCGGACATAGAATTAAACTGATTAATTATGTCGACAAAATACAAAAAAAAAGTAAATTCTCTGAACAGCTCAACAGCTTCTTGTTCGCCAACCTTTTCTGACATTTGCTGTCGTAATGTCATCTTAACCCGACGCCATATTTTCAAATGAACACAATGCAGTGTTTTTGCGAATATTGGCCTCATATTTCTAATATCCATTTGATCTTTCGTCGATCCACATCGAATCCCAAATTTAATTTAATTATATCCTCTGTCGTTTTTATAATCCGTGTCAAACTCGGTCTTCTCTCAAAAGCTATTCAGATGCCTTTGGTTATGCAGGCTTCTCTTTTCATGAATAGACATATATGCGCACGCAGGTATTCAAGCACCTACTGTTGACCGTCAGTTAATAATAATATTTCACAGTTCAAATTGCCAGTGTATGGATTTCAAAATTTGAGTGTGCCCAGTAGCGCGGTCTCGTGGCAGATTGGGTTCTGTATAGTAGTAATCATTTGCAAGATTATTATTTCATATAAAAATATTGTGTGTAGCTTCAAAGCGGCCGTACTTTGTTTCAAAGCGGTTTCCTATATAAGAAAGGAATACCACTTCGATGCCTGCCAAGTGACACCATTTCCTTATTAAGATCTTCCATATAAAGCCGCCTGATATTAATTAAAGCTGATTGGCGGTTTTTTTAGGGTTCCAAATTCTCTTTTGAAGCCAGGTCCTTTCTTCGATTGAAATATTTTCACATGGCTCGTCGCATGATCATATGCTAATATTTGATCACCACTACCAGCAGTGGAACCAAAGTGAAGGAGTCTGATGTTGGATAAACCTGAAACTCCAAAGGATCTCACGGCAACATCACTGATAATGTAGCCGCGGTCTTCTTACAGATGTATTTGTAAATTCACTTAATAAATTGTTTAAAAGCGACGATGCCTGCTCAAACACATATATCCAGTAAGTATAATAGTAATGTATTTATTTTATACACCGATAAAACATGTCAGTCAATTATGTCCCATGCGTAATACAGTCTTAGGTGATCAAGTATATTTCTATACATGACTGATGAGGGTAATTTTTTTCCCCGCAGTAGGTTGCCATTTCTTTCTGCGGTAGACAAGTTGCCATCCAAGGCTATAGAAGCCTGTATGTCCTGTATTTACCCATAGCCGAGGAGAGAAGAGGATTCATACCTTTCCCAGGGGTATTAGCACGTACGTGAATGTAATGGAATTGACTGGAATTCGAACTCGGCTCTCCGATTCATCAGTCTGAGCCGCTATACTAATGTACCTCATCAACATGTCTAATATAATAAATATTTAAGCAGCATATATTCATTAATGCCTGTTTGGTTGACTAATCTGGACATATTATGTCTATTTTATTATTTTAATCCTCCTCCTCTTTTTTTTTTTTTTTTTTAAAAAAAGATTGAGTATTTAAACCATTAGTAGCAATATATATATATATATATATATATATATATATATATATATATATATATATATATATATATATCCCTTCCATGCGCCTTATTCTTAACAGTGAATTTTAAATTGAATTTAACGGAGCGTGTTCATATGTGTTCATAATTAAAACAGAGCGCGTTTCATGTTCCTAATGTTACACCTATCTGATCACAGTTCCATTAGAGCCCATATAAACACACACACCCGACTCCATTAGGAACATCCTAGTAGAAAATACAATTATACTAACTGCATCCACCTGCAAAAAAAGACTAAAAATAATGGAAGCTTTAATAATAAAAAAGAAAAAGCCAACTCTTAACAATATTAACTACGGACAAAGCAACAATGTGCTAACCGTATTCGGAAATTAAAAACATCCCTACCACACACTAAGACATACACACAACGCACACACTCAATTAAGCTGACAAATCGAATCATCCTTGATAATGGCTAAAGGTATAGCCGAAAGCACTCGAAAATATAAAACATTTGGACAGTTCTTACACACCCTTTGTCCAGAAAAGAAAGCTCGTCTCAGAACACGAGAAAAATTAAATAAAAAGCTTAACCGTAGTACCTTGTCTGCGTTTTTAATGAAAGGAAGGATTGCTGCCTATATATATATATATATATATATATATATATATATATATATATATATATATATATAAGCATATATTTTGAAAGCGTGTTTTCATTGAGACATGTTTCATTGAATAATTTAGGATAGTTTTGTCTACTTATTTTTAGTTAGATCCTTTCATATTTACGGACAAGCTTTTGCCGTTATTGAAAGATGAGAGAAAATTGCCGGGTTCATATATACTGTCAAAAATCTCGCATACAAACAACTTGCCATAAACCACAGGATTCATGGTTCACATTTTGTATCTGGTGTATAAGACGACCGCCCGCTATATTTTTTGTGGGTTGGTTATTTTTCAAGGTTAAAATGTCGCCTTGTACGCCGACATATATGACAGTTCTTTAGTTAGTTTGGTCAGGCATCTTCCCAGTGAGCCTTCGAATTTCATTATCATATTTTCCGTTATCTCTTGTAACATATCCGATATTGTAGAATTCCTGTATATGCTTGTTTGTATAACGGTTCCAATTCCCAGCTCTAATCTTGGTCTGTCTCTCTTTTCATCAATCATACATTTTTGTATTCTTTCAATTGATGCTTAATGTATTTTTCCAGTTCTCTTTTATTACCTTGTCACGGGATTCCTGCAAATGTTTCTACGTCTTTTTTTTTAATCATTTCACCCCCAAGAAAGTTTATGATGCAACTAAAACGCAAGGTGGTACTGAATGTCAGGGAATATGCGAAAAAAAAAAACACTATTAAGGAGAGAGAACAATAAAATAGAGGAATTAATAAGACTTCTAGAAGATAACGATTGGTATTGAATTTTGGAAGATCTAAGTTGACTTGGAAGCAAGAAGCTGGAAGCGAGTTCCATAAAGGTGAAGACCGGATAGAATTTATGGTTACATCTCACCATTTTGACTGTAAAATGATGAGGCCTTACCGCCAATATAGTACTGCGCTTAAATTAATTAAGTGTAGGCACTATAGAGGTAAAGTTAATCAGTTTACCATGGAAATATTTATAGAAAAATTTCCATCAACACGATGGAAACTGCGTATCATATGTTACTAAGATTTTGTCCGTCAATAATAAATCCTTCTAGTACTTCCAGTACCCTTAGGGTAGCCTTTCTGTATAGATTAAATAAATACGGTGAGGAGATACATATTTGTTTTCAGCCTCTTTCTGTTTCTCTGTATTTACTCAATTAATATCCGAGTTGTATGCAAGCGGTGTATCACCAGTATATGTCCCGCATTATTGTAATATATTTATTAAGCATTTCACCCACGCTAGGCAATAAAGCCACTCTTAGAGGACGCACAAAGTGGGAACTTCTTTTCTTTCTATGTGCAGCGTCCTTTCAGGGCGTATGCGATCATGGCTCTCCACATCTTTCTATCCCTTGCAGCTCTCAACAAGTTTCTTCCCTCTGCAACTTCCCCAAACCACGTTCTGTCATCCACTTGTTTAAGCCCGCTAGTTATGTCATGCGTTGTTTTCCCTTGTCTTTCGTTCCTTCTATTCGACCGGTGAGTATCAGATTCTCCAGGCCCTCCTTCCTCATTATGTGTCCCAGGAACTTCCGCTGTCTCTTCCTGATGTTGAGTATAAATCTCCACCTTGTTTGCATCCTCTCTAAGACCTCATCGTTGCTCACATGTTCGGTCCATGATATCTTAAGCATCCTTCTGTAGAACCACATCTCCGTCGCCTCTAGTCTCCTCTTCATCTTTGAGGAAATCGTCCAACATTCGCTGCTGTATAGAAGGACAGATGCCACGTAACAAATCTGTATTCTTTTCTTCGTTACTAAAGATATCCTCCTTGATTTGTCGCTTCAGGTCGTCGTCATCGATGGCTCGCCCAAACATCCCACCTTTTGGTTCTAGATAATATTTGACCCTCTACCGTTCCGCCATTTTCATACCTCTTACTTACTGTTGTACCCTGGCGCGGTGTGGTAACGCCTGTTAGGTCCCCAGCTACGAGAAAATAGTGAACCCCAAGCAAAAACAAAACACCATGGAAGTATAAAAATACATATTTATAGTAAAAATACCATCAATATATTTTTATATAAGCAAAAACCAAACGATACATATTTATAGAAAAATTACCAACAATACATTTTTAAATAAAAATTACCAACTACACATTTTATAGTTAAAGGACAAAGAACGCATTTTATCTGTCGTTGAAGCCATAAAACTGTTCAAAATATTTAGCTTCCGGCATTAAATAACCCATAGATGCTGATATGGCGCTAAACAATCATCCAGCCAAATCCTTTTCCCTACTCTGCCGTCCACTCACATAAATTCAACCGGGAGGTTACTGCTTGTACTTCTTTGCCTTTTCTTCATTCAATAAGGTACTGTGATTATTAAATTTGCCAAACTGTCTTTCCTCATAATATGTACCAGAACTTTCAAATGTCTCCTTTTGATTTTAATTATATCTTTCGAGTTTCCATTTTGTTTATAACTTCGTTGTTACTCACGTGTTCCGTCCATGGTATATTCAACCTCCATATCAGGAACGACATTTTGCCTTCTTTATCTGTAAGAAAATTGTCCAGTAATAGAGTTGCTAAAACATAGCTACTACCCAGTAATAAATTTGCATAAATTTGTAAATTTAAATACATCAAGACATATTCATTCTTTATTACCCCCCCCCACACACAAGTTCAGGCTTTCAGAGATAGTACACGCCATGGCACATCCACGGAATCGAATCATCCTCATTTACTTCGTGTTAAAGGAGGAAATTCTGCTTGGAGGTCTTTTTCGAAATAACTAGTATTTTTTGGCTTTTTACCTGAACGTAGCAACCTTTCAAATCAGTTGTTAGATATTTATCGTGCTTATCCTCATAATATACACTTTCAACCATCTCCTATATGTATATCGGACACCTCATTTATAAACTATCAACATTGAGTGCCCCTCGAACCTTATAGTGGCTGGGGGTGAACCTTAGTGTAAAATAAAACCAGCATCAAAAATCAAAGATGCTCTGCAAGGATCATAGAGTCATTGTAACATCTACGATCCTTTCGTTAACTGCATAGCATGTGCTGCGTCAGTAATCCATACAGTTTTGAATTTAAAATTTTAGT